CAATTATGATTAAAAATTAATACTGTAATTGCTAAAAAAAGGCAATCAATAGACTATGCTCAATTAAGCGGTCCTAAGCAAAAACAGTAATTTTCATTAGATCACTCAAACACAAAATAGATAAAAATCTGCTCAACAAATAAAAGCCGATAGAAAATGAGATTAGAAGAAAACTAAAAAGTTAATTGGAAAGTAATTTGAAAATTCAGTATTACTCATTTTTCCTTTCAAAATGACACCAAAATTAAAATTAGGCAATTCCATCAATCAGACTTCTCTTGGTTAAAGTAGATAGCATAATAATAAGAAAACAAACAAAAAAAATCAATAACTACATACCTCTAAAAAAAATAAAATAAATAACTATTTACAAAAAGTAGCAACCATACATACATAGCAGTCAAATGTTTTTTTCTAAATCACTTGTACATCTTTTGAGAATTTAAAACGAATAACAAAAAGTCAACTTGTCTCTCCACTTTTCGAAGTAAAACCATTGATAGCAAAATCGATAATAAAATCTAAAAATTAATAGGAAAATTGCAAATCAATAGTAAAGCTTATCAACTTTAATAATTTAAGTGATAAAGTTTCCCATGATTTTGCAATTTTTTTTTGGTCTTACCACTAATTTGCAATTTTTCCAAAATTAATTTCAGTAATTAAGTGTCACGGATAAAAAATACTTAATGGGTTACAATCAAGATGCGAATAAATAAAAATATAAAAAAAAAGGACTTACCCTGCAATTTTCGTAAGCAATCTTGGTGGAAATTCTACAAAGATACTAAGATCTTTTTATCCCTAATCAAGCACGGGTCATTCGCTATTTTAATTCATTTTCATATATGACAATTAGCGAATGACTTGTGCCTAAAAACATTCCAAAAGGAAAGGAAAAAAAAAAAAAATCTAAGCATGCTTTCTATCAATTCTTGCATACCGTATCTCATGAATTGTTTGTATGATTTCAAATAAATATATCAAATAGGTTATGAGTTCGAAAACAGTTATGATTAAAAATTAATACTATAATTGCTAAAAAAAGGCAATCAATAGACTATGCTCAATTAAGCAGTCCTAAACAAAAAGAATAATTTTCATTAGATCACTCAAACACAGAATAGATAAAAATCTGATCGACAAATAAAAGCTGATAGAAAATGAGATTAGAAGAAAACTAAAAATTTAATTGGAAAGTAATTTGAAAATTCAATATTACTCATTTTTCCTTTCAAAAAGACACCAAAATTAAAATTAGGCAATTCCATCAATCAGACTTCTCTTGGTTAAAGTAGATAGCATAATAATAAAAAAACAAACAAACAAACAAAAAATTAATAACTACGGTCCTCTAAAAAAATAAAAATAAAATAACTATGAATTAAAAAATATGAACGAAAAAAAAATTAAAGTCTCTCTTTCTGTTTAGGTAAAAATCTATCATAGTGCTAAGCTTTTCTCTCATTCTACCTTTAAAAGCCACCAAAGAAAACATTGAAATAAATTATTTCACAAAACTGTCAACATATATGCACCAAAAGTAACAAATAATCACATACCCATAAATTGAGTCCAGAAACAATAAATGAGCTGCACATACCTATAATAAAAAAACCTACACAATCCCAAAGAAATGAACCCTTAAGATCAAACATAGATCATACCCACATGTCAAAAGAGAATGAATGGGATAAAATGCAGATGGTTAAAGAGGGGAGGATGGATAGAGGTTTGTGGAGTGAGATTTGAAGTGAAGCAAGATACAAAAAATTGAGAGATCTTTAAAGGTGGAATTTATCAACAAACATGACACATTTGAGAGGGAATTTAAAGGTGAAAAAATAATCTCTCACCATTTGATCTTAGAAAGAAATAATCAGTCTTACTAAAATATTCAAGTCACTTTAAAAAAGCTGCCTTCTTGATCTTAGCTGTATGAGATCCTGACAAAATGTTTAAAATTGATCTTGACCATCTAAAATGCTACATGAGACAACTGTCCAATCTCTCTACTTGGACAATGATACAAAGTACAGAACAATGTTATAACAATGACTCATAAATTTCTGAAATTCACAAAGCTTCATAATTCAAGTGACGACGAAAAATAGTATATTCTTCATCCAAGTACATCATCACTTATGGTTATCTATTCAAGGCTCTAAAGCTCTAAGCAACATGATCATGATTATCACAATCTTGCTCTTGCTGCCACTGGCCTGTGAGAAATTAATGCAAATTGTGAAAGTTAGGTTAGTAACTTGGTAGGCAGAAAGTAACATGCTACATAAAAGAGAGTTGATCTGATCTGGCATGGTACATGATTCAATGTTGAGATATCCACAACGCAATATAATAACTTCAAACTCTCTTGCAAATGCCAACGTCACCGTTTAAAGCAACACAACTATTATGATCAATTGAAACCTATTTTTCAATGTTCAAGTGAATAGACATGCGTTTGCACTATTAAAGTAGATAAATGAATAGAAAGAAAACAATAGCATAGAGAGTGAAATTGAGAATGATAACAAATCATACAAACCTCCAGACCGTAGCCGCCTAAAAACATATTGTAGTTAAAACATCATGTTTGATACAATAAGAAAAAGAAAACAACCAAAGAAAAAGCAAAATTCAATACTAAAACCATGATATAAAACAAAATTCAGTTTATAACGATCCCGGTTTTTACCCCGACCTTTATTGTGTTCTGAACTCGGGTTCCATGATTGTATATTGTTGTCTATGTCTTGTTTCCTCCCTTTAATTCTTTGAATTTGAGTTTTGGGACGCGAGTTTGGAACAGGTTGGTTGTATTTTGGTATAAATGGTCGTTGCCCAGATTTTGGCCTCTTCGCTTGAGCGAGGCTTCTTGCGCTCGAGCGAGCCCTGTGAAAATATTTCTTCGCTCGAGCGAGATTTCTTGCGCTCAAGCGTGTGTCTGCATTGGGTGGTAGACCTGAAGCTTCGCATTCTACGCTCGAGCGACACTTCTGGTCGTTTGAGCGAGAACTCCTTCGCTCGAGCAAGCTTGGTGTACATCAGATCACAGCAGTGCCGTTTTGCTTCATTTTTGAGCTCATTTTTCACTCACAAACCCTAAATCCGCAGTCTCTCTCTCTAGAAGTCACCTTTCCTCTAAGGTTTCATCTAAATCCATTGAGTTCTTGACCCTAGTGTCTTTGAGAATAAGGTAGAGGGCTTCAAGAGCTTCGTATTGATCTAAGTAAAAGTGGGTTTCGTCATTTTTGGAGTTCAACCTTGCTTTGCTCGTCTTCTCTTCTTGAGGTAGGGAATTTCTACACTCTAATATGGTTTTTAGCTTAGTTATTTGCTATTGTGTATAGATGATGAGATTTGGTTATGGTTTGGACAAATCTAGGATTTGGGTGTGAAATGAAAAGAAGGGTTTTTGATGAAATTGACATAAGTGGGTTTGAGATTTGGATACAAAGTTGTACTGTGCCAAATTAGTTGTTTTTGGTGTTTGGGTTGATATTTGGGAATAAGGGGGGATTTTGCCCTAATTTAATTAAATCATTATTTTGTATAAATAAATGGGATTAACATTAAAAATGTGAAATTGGAAGGTTGTGGTTGTAAATGGTGATATTGGATATGTAATATCTCACCTATGGAGGTTTTGAATAAGCTATCTATTTGATATTGAACATCCCTAACTATGATTATTGTAGAAGTTACATGAGGATTAGGCGATTTAATGCTAATCCATTGTTGGTGTCATTGAATATGACTATGTTATAAATACATTGTATATGTATGTTTATTGGGAGGAGAAAGGGGATGTACTCCATATATGATTATGTTTATAAATACATTGCATATGTATATTTGTTTGGGAGGAGAAAGGGGATGGACTCCATTTAAAGCAAGTTGGCCAGAGTGTCCTGAGTGAAAGACTCGAAAGTTCATATATAAATGGGTGCCGATTCCTTCGGACGAAATATCCGTAAAATGGCAAGTTTGAAGTGTTTATGTGTGTTTTGAATAGTTGGAAAACCACTGAGTTTTAGTCTCATTTTGGTTGTTGAAAGATAATGAATTTAACTCATAAATTGAGTAGCATATATGAATTGGAAATGAATTGAAGGGAAATGAAATGAGGTTAGGTCTTAGTGGCATGGATGTTGTAGTATTGGCATTGTTTATGCACATAGTATTTATATCTTTGCTAAACTTCATATATTGTGTTAGATTATCTTTGCTGGGCTGTTGGCTCATCCTATACGGGAATATCATTTTTCAGGTGTAGATGAGGTGTTACCTCCATGGCAATAGCATGAATGGACTCTCGAGAAACAAAAGCTTCTTAATTATGCCTTATGTGTGTATGTTTGTTATTGGTAAAGCCAAGGGCTTAAGATGTAATGAGCGAGACTCAATTTATGTAACCAAGCAATGACTTGGAAAGATGTAAGCCTACATGGCATTTAACTGGTTGTTAAACAGTGAACTCTAATATATGAAAGTATGTTGCTTCTCATATTTATTCTGCGTATGAGTTATTTTATTGTATTATTTTGGGAGCGTTATAAGTTGATAGTGGAAGACAACCAACTAATCTGTGTATTTTTTACCAATGCAAGAGTTTAGGCTATTCCTACACTCTTCTAACTCATTGAGAGCATTGCTCGATGGAAACCCAAAAAAGGAATGTGAGACATGTATTTCATAGAAAAGAAAAGTTACATGACTACCAAATATTTAAAAAAAACGTTATAATTTTTCCTTATTTATTTTTAGGCCTACACATCATGACTAAACAATGTTATAATGGATAAGAATTTTTTAAGATTGTAAACCGACAAATAATTAAATTCAAATTTCTAAAATGAGTATGAAAAAAAATCAAAAAGCAATTAAAGTTT